GTTCCTCATACTTGATAATCAAAAGCCTTCGACTACATGTAACATCAAACTTCATGCAAACAGCGCTCGAGGTGGGCGACAACGCTTCTGTGGCGGGAATGACGCCCTCGACTCGATAGCAACGATCTCCACTGGTCGGCCTTCCGCCGGCCTAGTGCAGGCCACCAGCTCCACGTTAATCCGGGACTGTGGTCCTCTCAACCCAGGATATTTCAGTGTCCCGCTCAGTCTTTTGGGCGTCAGTTCTCCGCCTCGAGCTAGGTGCTGCACCTCGTCCAGAGACAACACGCCACTGTAGAACCGAAACTCATCCAGCAGTCCGTGGAAGCCGTACCAGCCAACGAAATCTCCATGAGGATAGCCTCCCCCACCTGAGGTGACGTATCCCGTCCCGACCTGTTCATGAAGTAGATGCTGCCACTCCCGATGGAGAGCTCCAGTCGTAGACCAAACGTTCTCGCCGTCCACATACACGTCCTGCTTTTGGTGTTCGAGGTCGTAGGTCAGCACTAGATGGTACCAGCGGTCAAACTTGAGGTCCGTGGCCACTGGTTTCCTGGCGTCCAGCACCGAGCAGTAGAGGTTGCTCTTCGAGTCCACCATGATGAACTGTTGGTGGTACTGCGGCCAGTTTCTGCTGTCTCGCTCCTCCGACTGCAGGCCGAAAATGACTCCACCTGGGTAACTAGCTGTCTCCATCTCCTTCTGCGCTGCTGGTAGTAGAGAGAACCACAAGTCGAAGCTGAAGCTCTCCTCGTGCATCGTCCGTAACGCAAAGTACATCCGACGGAACTGTCCCCAATCTGTCGGTGGTGGGTACTCGACGCAGGCATAGGACGCCCGCACTAGATCGTCATTGTCGTCTGTACCAAGACCATGGAACAGCATGGACCTCGCCTGCATGTAGCGCCGCTTCCACGTGTGAAGCAGGTGTTGCTGGCTCTCCGGGACGCGGCCGTGCACCATGCGCTCGTGCCAGAGTAGCCCGTCCGAGAACAAAGCGAACCACCGCGAGTTCGTGTGCGATAGCTGAAAGGCGTCGAAACCCGCCAGGAAGCCACAAACCGCTTCCAGGACGTCTGCAGGTAGCTCTTCCAGCCACATGGAGTTTCGATCTGCTTCTCGCTTGAGAATTTGAAGAATGGCGCGACCTAATAGCCCAGCGTTCTCGCAGTCCCAGTGTTGCCGTTCCAAAAGCTCACCTGGGATGGGTGACACGTTAGCCTTAATTGCTCGGAACGTCAAAATGAGCAGGGCGGCGCACCACGTCGCCCATCCCGATGCACCGTCTTTGAGATTGACATTGAAATTGCCAAGCTCTATGAGTTGTAGTATGCCTATTATTATTGCGGTCTTCGTGGTAGAAGTGTAGACGAAAAACCACAAGCGTGGCTAAATGCAATGAATGCAGTATTGCAACGATATTGACAAGCCTTTGCACTTGGACAGCAACGAAACCATGGGTAAGTTGCCCACCTGGCCCCGTGGCGTACAGCTCAAAGCTTTTACGGACCCGAGATTGCACGCGCAAAGCTTCACCATGCAGTCGTCAAAAAGATCGTCTGTCTGCAGTTGTACTCCCTCGCAAAACAATTACCAAAAATTAAGTATGAAAGCTCTCAAATGAGGAAAGAACGATGGCTTTCATACGTGATCTTCTTGAAGCAGAGAGCAGATTTACACAGTTGTGTTTCCCTCGTCCTTTCTCTTATCTCACTTCAACGTTGGCCAACGTTTTAACCAACGAAAGGCATGACGTTGGTCAAGCCAAACACAACGCACAACTCAAGCCTCACTTCCGAATCTGCCGCCTGCCGCACAAGTCGAAGCCAAGACCATCACTCTGCACTCTAGTGGCAAAACAAAAATGTCCAAGGAGGACGACAAGCTCAAGCTGCTGCAACCCGAAGCCAGCAAAAACGACGACGGTGTGCCCGAGGTCTACCGCTCGCTCAACTTCCGCAGCCTGCAAGACCCGTACTCGCACAACAACGACACTATGGCGAGTCGGTACAGCACTCTGAGAGCTGATAACCTCGAAACCATGCTCAACGGAGGCCTCGAGCGGTTCTACAAGAAGTACGACCACCTTTCTCGTAAGGTTAACATCCAGCTACCCACGCCTGAAGTTCGCTTCGAGAACCTCTCCTTCACTGTGCAAGTACCCGTGTCCGAGGAGGACCACGGTACTGTGGGCTCTCACTTACGGGGTATCTTCACGCCCTGGAAGAGACCGGCTATGGCCACCAAGCACGCACTGCACCCCATGAGCGGCATCATCAAGCCCGGTACATTGACTTTGATCCTGGCCAACCCTGGCGCAGGCAAGTCGACGTTCCTCAAGGCTCTGGCTGGGAAACTCCAAAACTCGTCCAAGACCAAACTCGGAGGACAAATTCTGTACTCTGGACTCAAAGGAGACGAGATTGACCTCATCAAACTGGTCGGAATGGTGGACCAGACGGATAACCACATCCCGACACTCACTGTCCGCGAGACGTTCAAATTCGCCGATATGTGCGTGAATGGACGTCCAGAGGACCAACCGGAAGAGATGAGAGACATCGCAGCGTTGAGAACCGAGCTGTTCCTGCAGATCTTGGGCATGGAAGAGTGTGCCGACACTGTGGTGGGTGACGCACTGCTACGTGGTGTGAGCGGAGGTGAGCGTAAGCGCGTCACTATTGGCGAAGTGCTGGTCGGTGGTCAGAGTCTGTTCCTGTGTGACGAGATCTCCACGGGTCTGGATAGCGCTGCTACCTTCGATATCATCAAGTCACTGCGCACCTGGTGCAAGACGCTCGGTGGCTCGGCGGTGATTGCGCTACTGCAACCGACTCCCGAAGTGGTGGAGATGTTCGACGACATCTTGATGGTCAATGAAGGTCATATGATGTACCATGGCCCCAGGACAGAGATTCTTGACTACTTTGAAGGTCATGGATTCACTTGTCCACCTCGTGTGGATCCCGCGGATTTCCTAATCGAAGTGACGTCTGGAAGAGGCCACCGCTATGCAAACGGCAGCATTCCGATCAAGGATTTGGCTGTCACATCGGAGGATTTCAACAACCTCTTCTGCCAGTCGAGCATCTACCGCAAGACCCACGAGGCCATCAGCAAAGGCTTCAACGAGCACCAGTTCGAGAGTGCAGAGGACTTTAAGAAGGCCAAGAGTGTGGCCAACCTGGCCCGTTCCAAGGAGAAATCCGAGTTCGGATTGGCATTTGTCCCCAGTACGATGCTACTGCTGAACCGACAGAAGTTGGTGTGGATTCGTGACCCTCCTTTGCTGTGGGGGAAACTGATCGAAGCACTGATTATCGGCCTTGTCATGGGCATGATCTACTTCGACGTGAGCTCGACGTACTACCTGCGTATGATTTTCTTCAGTATCGCTCTATTCCAACGTCAAGCGTGGCAGCAGATCACCATCTCGTTCCAGCTCCGTAAGGTTTTCTACAAGCAGCGACCACGTAACTTCTTCCGAACGTCTTCGTACGCCATTGCTGAGAGTGTCGTACAGATTCCCGTGAATATGGCTGTCTCGTTCGTGTTGGGCACGTTTTTCTACTTCATGAGTGGCTTGACACGGACGTTCGAGAAGTACATTGTGTTCTACCTGGTGCTCTTGGCCTTCCAACATGCCATCAGCGCCTACATGACTCTGCTGAGCTCTCTATCCCCAAGTATCACGATAGGTCAGGCACTTGCTGCTATCTCCGTGAGCTTCTTCCTCTTGTTCTCGGGTAACATCATCCTGGCCGACCTGATTCCGGACTACTGGATCTGGATGTACTGGTTCTCCCCGATCTCGTGGGCTTTGAGATCCAATATGCTGTCGGAGTTCTCGAGCGACCGCTACACTGATGCCCAGAGCAAAGCACAACTGGAAAGCTTCTCAATTACTCAAGGCACGGGCTACATCTGGTTCGGTGTTGCTGTGCTCGTCGTGTACTACTTCGCGTTCACGAGTTTCAACGCGTTGGCGCTGCACTACATCCGCTACGAGAAGTTCAAAGGTGTGAGTGCCAAGGCCATGCAAGAAGACGAAGCGCACAATGTGTACGTCGAAGTAACTACGCCGACGACTGAACTGCAAGGGATTGGAGCCGCAAAGGTAAAAGGAGGTGGTCTTCCGTTCACGCCTACGAATCTGTGCATCAAAGACTTGGACTACTACGTGACACTACCATCGGGTGAGGAGCGACAGCTCTTGCGGAAGATCACGGCTCACTTCGAGCCTGGTCGTATGGTGGCACTAATGGGGGCCACTGGAGCTGGCAAGACGACGTTGATGGACGTGATCGCTGGCCGTAAGACTGGTGGACGTATCGTTGGTGATATCTACGTGAATGGGGAGTTGAAAGACCCGGCGATCTTCAGTCGCATCACGGCGTACTGCGAGCAGATGGATATCCACTCAGAAGCTGCGACGATCTTTGAGGCGCTCGTGTTCTCGGCCAAACTGCGAATGCCGCCGACGTTCACCGAGGAGGAGCGTATGAATCTGGTGCACGAGACGCTGGAGTTGTTGGAGCTGACAACGATAGCCGGTGAAATGGTAGGCAGTCTGTCGGTTGAGCAGAAGAAACGCGTGACAATTGGGGTCGAAGTGGTGGCCAACCCTAGCGTTCTGTTCCTCGATGAGCCCACGAGCGGTCTGGATGCTCGTTCAGCTCTGATTGTGATGCGTGGTGTGCAGTCGATTGCTCGTACTGGTCGCACAGTGTTGTGTACGATCCACCAGCCGAGTATTTCCATCTTTGAGCTGTTCGACGGACTGTTGTTGCTTCAGAAAGGTGGCTACACTGCGTACTTCGGTGATCTCGGCGTGGACTCAGTCAAGATGCTTGAGTACTTCGCCTCGATCCCTGGTACAGAGGAGATCCGACCGCAGTACAACCCTGCTACGTACATGCTGGAGGTGATTGGCGCTGGTATCGGCCGCGACGTCAAGGACTATTCTGTCGAGTACAAGAACAGCGAGTTGTGCGCCAAGAACCGTGAGCGTACACTGGAATTGTGCGAGGTATCGGATGATTTCGTACGCCACTCTACGCTAAACTACCGACCGATTGCGACGGGCTTCTGGAACCAACTCCAGGAGCTCACGAAGAAGCAGCGACTCACATACTGGCGCAATCCTCAGTACAACTTCATGCGTGTGTTCCTGTTTCCGATCTTCGCCATCATCTTCGGCACGACCTTCTACCAGCTCTCAGCCGACAGTGTCAAGCGCATCAACTCTCACATCGGTCTCATCTACAACAGTATGGACTTTATCGGCGTGACGAACCTCATGACGGTGATCGAAGTGACGTGTGCTGAGCGTGCCGTGTTTTACCGCGAACGCATGTCCAACTACTACAGTCCGCTGCCCTACAGTCTGTCGCTGTGGTTCGCTGAGATCCCGTATCTCATTGTAGTCATCATCCTCTTCGTGACGATCGAGTACTGGCTGGTGGGCTGGAGTGACAACGCTGGCAACTTCCTCTTCTTCCTGCTCGTCTTCTACCTCTACACGTCGGCGTGTACCTACATCGGTCAGTGGATGTCTGCTCTGATGCCGAACGAGAAGGTGGCGAATGTGGCTGTGGGCGCTCTCTCGTGTCTATTTAACTTGTTCTCGGGCTACCTGCTGCCACGTACGGCGATGAAGGCTGGCTACAAGTGGTTCACGTATCTGATGCCGTCGAGTTATTCTCTTGCGGCGCTGGTAGGCGTGCAGTTCGGTGACAACCACGAGATCATCACAGTCACGACGGGAAATACGTCGACAGATATGACAGTGGCGCAGTACATTGAGAACATCTACGACTTCCGGCCGGAGCGCAAGTACAACTTCATGGTCGGCCTCATTGTCATTTGGTTCGTCGTGCAGGTCGCCATCTACCTCACGTTCAAGTACGTGAGCCACCTCAAGCGATAAACTGAGAGGGAGATCACTGCAGACGGAGAGTTTGCTGTGTTTTATATTCGTTGCGTAGTTTTGAATTCACTGCATCATTTTTTCAGTTTTTTTGGTCTTGTACAAATTCTAAAAGCTTAAGTTTAGAGCTACCAACTTCAATGTCAATCTCAAAGACGGTGCATCGGGATGGGCGACGTGGTGCGCCGCCCTGCTCATTTTGACGTTCCGAGCAATTAAGGCTAACGTGTC